AGCAGCTGTAACTGTTCATAATGAAAACTATTGTGGTGACAAACAGAAGAGACGCATTATGAAGGAGGTGCTGAATGTGAAATTAATCGACCAGAGCAGCCCACCCTGATAGACATCCCCACTTCTCTATCATTTGTGCACGCACACATACAAAACCTCACTCGGTTTAACAGCAGTGATATGGAAGTTAATCCAAATTGTGATAGTGGCAATATCCTATTAGACCATGGCAATAAAATCAAGCTGAGACTGGTAACACATTACAGATATCAGAACATGTTCAGCACGCTCCATTACAATATGAAGTGACATTAATCAGCGGGGGTCCTCTTACACACACATAGAGGCATAAAACAAACATGCAAATCATACACACAGGCGTGCACAAGCCTAAAGTACAGCTCAAAAGAACACACGTTTTAGTGTTGAAGTGCTCTTTCATTTGATATTATTTTAAATGGTGTAAAGAATTTATCACTGGCCTTTTGCGAGATTAATTCAGATATATTGTAAAGAAAAAAGATAGTCAAGCAGCCAAGGGCAGAAGGGCGGACAAATGAATAGCTGTTCATAACAGTTTTTGTAATTATTATATTATATATTATAATAATTTTTGCTCACCCTGCCTCTGGAATAAAAAAGTGATTTAGAGGCAGGTGGCAGACAGTGTTACTGTATAGTTCTTTGTGAGTTTCTGTGAAAAATGTCCTGCAATTTAGTATGCAAACTGAGAGCACACTGTTTTTAGAACTCTGCTCGCAAGGAGTGTGCCACTAATCAGCTCACCAATTCCTTTCAGTTTCTAGTCAGTTTTTAGTTGGACTGGGCTGCATTTGATACTGTGCATATCGCTTTCTTCCTGATGTGCATATGCACTGTGTTGACACTGCGAGGATTATCATTCAGCCTGTCAGGTTTGGCACTGCTAAAATAACTCTTGTCCCTGAGTTGAAGGACCTTCGCTTCCCTCCAGGGCCTTTTTGCAAGACCTCTGCCCCAGTTCACCCAGGCCAACCTAGGCTCCTCCTCTCTCGCTCTCTCTGTGAGTGTTTGTGTGGAAGTGAGTGTGCATGTCTTCTTACTGCGGGGAAACTGCTGAAGGTCAAAGGGCAGGAAGTTGGCCACCTGCCTCTGTCACTTTAGTAAAAGTAGTTGAGCAAAGAGAGGAAGTGGTAGCAAGAGAGTAAGACATGACAGGCAGAGATAAAGTATGAGTATATGTCAGTGTATGTCCGTGCTTTTGTCTGACAGCTGAACTTACAAGAAGGTCAGACGGGTTGTAGAATAAGAATCCTTGAATACGTAAAAATCATTGTCATTTAAGTCACATTCTGTAAAATCTCCAGCACTTTCTCCTGGGTTTCTCTTTTTCACTGAGGTTTTTGTTGACCTTTGTGAAACTTAGTTTATCTGATCTGCAGACTTTATGCCTGATTAAAGAAAACGACCGCTACAGGCTTTTGAGTTTCTCAGGACTGTTGCTGAATAACCTGGTAGGGATCTCTCCGCTGGTATTTGCTAGAGGCGACAACCCTTCTCGCTCCCTGCATAAATGTGCCAACTGAGGACGAGAGCATAGAAGGCCAGAGGGCAAAAAGGGAGTGAACCACCTGCTTCTGTCACACTGTCAGGATGAAGGCGGACGAGTGCAAATAGGGTGAAGTGTGTGTGTATGTGTCGGGGTTGGGTTGGGGATATTGTGTAGGAGGGGGACAGGTGGCACGCCGGACAGCGCTGGCACAAGCCACCACAGGATTTATCACTCAGCGACAGTCACGGCTGGGCAGGGGACAGATGTTTCTGTTTACCCCAGGGCAACATCTGACTGGCCGAGCCTAACGTTAGCCCAACCAGCCTTGCCCGCACAGGACAGGGCCTGAGAGGATAGAGGAGAGGAAGAAAAAGAGAGAGGAAAGCAGAAGAAACTGGAGGATGTTCAGTTTGCCCCCAAGGCACATAAGCAAGTTAGCTCATTTCTCTCCAGTCTGCTCCATCCTCCACTGAAGCACCTGAAACTCATTTAGCCCCCACTAACTGTTGTGCCACTATAGGGAACCATTTTAATAAGTAGTAATAATGTCGACTGACAATATGAGCCGTTTTCAAAGCGGGGAACCTGCGCCAGTTATTGGGGAGTGAAACAAAACAATTTTAATTGACCTCAAGTTTATTCTACAGCTTCACTTAGTTAGAAAAGCAGACACCAATGCACAGCACTTATTGTGGCGTTATTTAAAGCCTATTGGGTGAGAGCCTTTATGCATTAGCATATGTATATAGTGTACAGTGTTCCTGCTGGGAAACCTGAGAACTGTCACTGGTAATGTAGCTGGAGCACTCGTCTTAGGAGCAATGAGGAATGACCTTTAGGTTCAACCCTGAGTGAGGTCATGTCAGTGTTGCCATGGCTACTATCAGCAGACTGTTCTGTTGCCAGCATTACCTCAGCTGCCTGGCATTGTCGGGGTCAGAGAACAGGCTGTGACCTCCCTGTCGTAACCAAACTCAACTAGGGACAAAGACACCATGAGACACTATTAGTCCAGTGTATCTTATTTTCTGTTCATGAAAATGTTTAGTGGAATTTATGGGTGCAGAATTTTTAGATTTCCACACAGATTTCCATCTGGGTTAAGTCAGCCTGGTAAATGAAGTTGGCTATTACACTGAGTTTGCCATCATTAATTAGCACTAATGTGGTGTAATAAGCAAAGGGTGGATACACAGAGCAAGATTTAACACTCATCCAGCAGGAGAATTTCAGCTTCTGTAGGACAGTTAATACCTAATTTGTGAGCATAAACATCACTCTCGGAAATCTAAAAAGCGAGAGAACAACGACATTCATCTGTAATTTCATCAAGACGTACAAACCAGAGCTGCTGCATTACAATGATTTAGTGGAATCATAAAAATATTGTTTGCACTGTGCTGCGTTTTATAGACATGGTAACTGATCTGAACCAGAAAATGTGTCTGTGTGCTCTTAAAGTCACCTTTTCCATCTTTTTCAACTTGTTTCTACAAAATCTCATAAAATCTCAAACATATATATGTGCTGGACATAGTGTTTAATTTATAACTGTTTGCCCAAGTTGAATGTTCTACCAGAACTATAGTACTACTTTTTCCCTGAGGTACTTTGAGAAATCGTCTAGAGGTCTTGCCATATGCATATTTTGTGCTGTGTACAGAAATACAGACAATGTGCAAGAAATGCAAAAACCAAAAAGAATTTAACCTTTCCCTTGTAGCAGCTCATCCACACTTTGGTCAGAACACCTGTCCGTGGAGTATCCATCTGCAGCTGAAGGTGAGAAACACAGCTGTCTACGCACACACACAGACACACAAACACACTCACACAAGTCCATTAAAATTGTAATGTAAACCATTATAATATTCAGTATCACAACCCTGCATTATCCTCGCCACAAATGAAAAACCTAATGGGATGTCTTAATCATTTCATGCAGAAGATGCAATAATATATAACTCTTTTCTATTTGTGGAACATGTTTGTCCACTCTCCTCCTGATAGGCCCCATTTAATCATGTTGTTCTGTTTCCTAATTAGCAGAAATGCAAAGTGTCTTTGTCACCTGTGGACAGCCAAGAGGGCTAATTTGGGCTTTTCACTAATTGCCACGGTAACGAGCCTCCTGCGCCTCCGCTGGGGGTGGGTGGAAGGCATGGCAGGAGGAGGACTGGAGGATGGAAGGATGGAGGGATGAAGACACAGCTCTCCTCACACACGGCCGAGGTGTGAAAGAACGCGGCAGGCCAACAGAACGCAGCCTGGAGGAGTCCAACAGCAGGGAGTGGGGGACAGCCTGCGCTGTGAAAAAGCCCCAACACCCAGCTGAGAGGGAGGAGGATTCAGCTCTGGCCAGTTTTGGTCTCTCAACTTTGATGAGGAGATGACTACATTGGGTTGGATAATTGTTGGACGTCTCTCTGACACTGACACCTGTTATCATCCCCACCTGACTTGATACTGGTTCCCACACAATGTACCTTCTTTTTTTTTTTTTTACTGTTCTTTTAATAGACAAATTCTAGGTATAACTCAGCAGGCAGTTTTTAAATTAGCAGCTTGACATGTATGTTTCTTACAAAGGTTTCCTGTGTGTATGAAAAAGAGGTAGAATGTGATGACAGAAATAAACTAGACTATAAACTATAAATGAAAAATATCGGATGCTTGATAATGATGTTTTATTATTAATCAGTGCTCACCTCAACTTGCAGCTTTCCTTTTTTTTTTTAAATGCAACTTTTATATAGTTTATGAATCATGGTGAAATGGCAGCCTAATAGAAACTTTTCAGGGGAAAGAGTGGGCGTTAGATTTGAAATGTCCTCCTCTTTGAGTTTATAAATAACTTGAATGTACTATAACACTATAAATACTAATGTGCTAAATAAAATTAAGTATTTTTAGAGTTACAGCAACATTACAACATTACAGCAGTGTACATTTAATGTGTAAGTTTGCAATATTGTTGCGTTAACTAAGTCATCCAGTCAATATTAGGCAACTAAAATTCATTTTGAGCATTTATATTTCACCATGCTGCAATTAGGATACTTAACTTTAATTTAAATAAAGGTTTAAGTGCAGTGGTTCATTGTCTGTTTTGGTAAAGCAAGCTGCTTTATGTATTTCATAGCGTCTAAATTCATGTTTGCATCATTCGCATTAATTATTATCGTCACTTACTGTTATATTTTTTTTTAAAAAAAGGAAATTAAATAGAATCCGTTAATGTAATTCGTCCGGATCAATATGCTCTCTCTGCTGATTTATACCCTCTTTTGCTTTTTTCTTTTTTCAAATACATTTTCTTTTCAGCAATACACCCTGAAAGCTTGGGGGCACCTTGTCCGTACGCTGCTCTCGGGGGCGAGCTCCTCGAATGTGTGCGTGCGCGAGAGAGAGCGTGTGCGTGAGTGTGTGTGTGTGTGAGAGAGAGCGTGTGAACGCGGTGTGAGTGAGTGTGAGCATGTGTGTGTGTGTGTGTGTGCGTGCGTGTATGTGTGCGCGCGTGTGTGTGTCTGCTCTGCTGTTGCTGCCCTTTGATCCCTGCATTAGTGTTAGTTAGGGGCTCGGAGACACACTTGCACCGAGAGCAGCCATAGTCAAGACACGGCAACAACAACAGCGGCACCTCCTCCGCCTGTGTTCCCATTCCCCAACAATACACTTTAAACCGAGCAAAGCCAGGTGCACGACCAAGTCCCTGCCATCACTGGCGCCTCCAGTCTCAATGGGAAAAACCTTTTTTCTTCTTATCCCCAAACAAGGACGAGAATGTGATTAAAAACGGGGGAAAATGCCAAGGAGGAAGCAGGAGCAACCCAAGCGCCTGCCTTCACGTAAGTCCTTCACTCGATTTGTTCTATTTGAACGGCTCTCCGTGTGTTTTGCGCAGTAGTTTAGGGTTAAAGAGGTGAAACAGACAAAAGACTCGGCGTAGGTTATTTCTCCCTTTTTAGGTCCGAGCGAGGCAGCCATGTTGTTGGCGATGGGTAACGTTAGCTAGGCAGTGAGTGGATAAATGATACGTGGCTTTATTAAAGAGTATAATCGATAAAGGTCCGGTTCCGCTAAAGGTTGCGGTCAGTTGGCATATGTGTCGGTTGTGTGTGTCTGAGGGCTAACGGCCGAGCGTTTTCGGGCAATGTGTTCGCCTCTGCTAGGTCGCTTTTCGGGTAGAAAGGGGAGGATCTGGGAGTCTGGCCGCAATAAAATGAAGGGTCAGTCGGATCAGACAAGCCAGAGTCTGGCTACCCGTACCCTAGTGTTCCTAGTTAGCAATAGCGCTATCTAGCAACGCTCGGTAAACTTCATTTCCTCGGCGATTAAACGTGTAACTTTCGCCTCATAGTTTTTCGCTGCTTCCAGAAATCGCGGAACCGAATTTTGTTCGCGCTTGTTTGTCGTCGACTTTAAAAAGTGTGGAGAGGTTTTTTTTTTTCCTCTCTTGCCTCCAAGCCAGTGTATTTTTTTTTCTACCCCTCCCAGTCTGCATGCAGGCTATGTCAGAGCCATGGTCGGTCACCTGAAGTTCAGGGTTTTTCCCCCTTCCCTTTGCAGCCATTCATTGCAGACAGACTACGATCAATAACGCGGTTAGAAAAGGGAAACGGCAGTTATGCTCCGCTACGTTGCTCGAAACAACATCGTGCCGCAGCAGAAACCCATTGTAATCCCCGTGTAGTTGATTTTAGCAGGAGGTTGGTTTACTTTTGTACATTTGACCCTCCGTATCTTGGATGTTCGTATTGTGCCTTTATCAGTCCAGATAATGAAAAGCTGCGATAACACACTCCGGCCACTAGAGGATTGCTTTTAGATGGTAGTGGGCAATGACAAGGATTATTAAAGGAATTATCCCCAGAGAGTGACATCTCTCTGCTCTTGATCATTTCTGCTCAATACATGCGTAAGCAAACAGCTCAGTTAGTCACATTGCTATGCAAATGTAATGAATAACTGTGATTCATCTTTAAAATCAACGAGGGCTTGATACATTTATCTTATGACAGTCTTCTTCTTCATTTCTTAAATGTCAAAGCACGCCAGCTGTTCATCACTGCCAGCCACCATAAAAACGAAAAAGCACTTAAAGTTGTCTCTCAGTTTGCTCACATAGTTTTAATTTCAAAGGCTTTGAGGAATGAATGAGCTCCAGCACCTGACACCTTAAATCAAAATGTGCCTTACAGAGTCATTCACACAATACACACATATTATTTTGTGGTCACTGATGCACTGCCCAGGTGTTTGACCTAGGGTTGAACTTGGGAAATAGCAGCCGTTGGCTGGGAGGCATAGAGGTGGAGACTGGGTGACAGTAGTGAGTGACTGTGAGTGCATCTGTGTGTGTATGTGACTGAGTGGCAGGGAGATATTTGGACAGTGAGCCCTCACTCATATGCTGCATTAGGAGTATGTAAGCTGTATGGTTGAACTGCACAGAACAGGGTCGTGATATTTATGTATCACGTATACATATATAAGCAAAGGTAATCCACTGCAGCCTTTTTACCACCGATCTGCATACCGAGGCTTCGTTTAGGGAGCTTGTCCACTGAACATCGTCCTCCAAAATCAGTGTTTTACGAAGCATATCAAGTGTGCAGCGTTATCATGAAATACAAGCAGTAATTTCTTATTTAAATACCTGAAGCTGGGTTCCATTTCCTGAATTTCCCTTCTTCCATAGTGACGTTCATGTTCCTGTTTATGGTTAGGTGGAGAATACAGTATGGAGTACAGTATGGCTAACTGATGCTTTGATAAGTTGTAGGCTACATTTTTTTTTCCCCAGATAGGAAAAAAAGTCTCCTGATCAATTGGAGTGAGTCACTGCGTAGGATTTTATGACACCGTGTTAACAGGGACACATGTATGCTCATAGTTTATTGGGTATTTTTGTGATATAAATAAATGAATTTCATGTTGTTGTGCAGGAGATGTTACCAGGAATTTTTAAAAAGCAAAAACAAGCCCTGCTTTATGATGATTACAATATTGAAGTATATGCTTTGTCAGTTTCAATGTAAAGTACTTTAAAGGTTAAATCAGCTTGAGCAGGATTTTAAATAAATTGTTGTAACATGTTGGGAAAATGGTGAGATCCTACAATTAAGTTGTTTGAGATTGTGTTTGCTAAAGCTTCCTGATTTTAGACCACTCAGATGGTGCACCGTTTAGCTGTATTTCACAGTGTCATGATTATGCAGACTGGATCAGTCAAACATCCAATATTTCCCCCTCTTTTTTTTTGGGCAAGGAGACCAAAGTTAGCCTGTGTCATCCTCTCAATTAAGCTGCTTCCTAATTGGTCTGGAACAAAAATACCCTTCACCCACGTATCTGAAACCATGTACTCCTGTGTAGGCACTGTACTGGAGCACTGCTGTGCCTGTGTTCCTGGGCTTAAATGAAAGCCTTTTCTGATTTAGGAGTTGTTTCCCTCCTCAGTCAACAAACTGTCACAGGAAAGTATGAATTTGTCAGAAGCTTTTTGCGCTTTGTTTTGGATCTTCCCACTCTAGAATGGAAGTGTCACCTCATGCCATTCGCTGTCAGTCTGTGTGTTTTCATTATTCAGCCAACAACACCCTGGTGGTGTGCCAGCCAACAAGCACAATATCGAGCTTCAAATCTCTTCATCTGTGGTGAAAAAGGGCAAGCTAATACACTGGCTTTAATGCTGGAGGTGCTTTATCTTAGCACAGACCCAGATATATGGGCTGTGTTGCCTGGTGTGCACTGTCCTATTGTCTGTGGCACAGCTTGTGAGAGGATACTATTCTTTAAGTGTGTGTGCACGGCACGCACATGTGAAAGTGAACAGGCAACCCTTGTGTGTTTGTGTGTGTGTGTGCGCGTGTCTGTGGGTACATAAGCCGGCTATGGAGGTCACAGTACAGTATGGCGCCTTCACTCTGACAAGTAAACATGACCTTTGGTGCCACAATGAAAACTGCCATTCTTTATGACCTTGCAGTGTGTTATTGTTTGTGTAATTTTGCTGCCTTATTACTCACTCTTTAAAGTTAGCGTTAATGAAAATGCTTGTAAGGTTTAATGTTTTGTGTAGGTTGGTTTCTGATTTTTAAAAAAAAATGACATTAGGTTAGTGAGAATGAACCTTAATATTTTGTGTTGTTTGGCATTTTATATTCCAAAATGTACATCTTACAGCCTTTAGTTCAAGCAAGTCCCCTCAGTATTTCTCAACCAGTCGACATTCTCATCCTCGGAGTCTTTTAAAGTAAGTGGGTGAGTATGTTAAAAATATAGACTGAGAGAGAGTCCATATCATAAAGAGCACAACCTTAAGTGTATTGGGAGGAACATTTGTATTCTGCTTACTTATCCCCCAGTAATCTACATTTGAGATGGAGAGATTTTTTACATTTCTAGACAGATATTGGCCGCTCTTCGTCAGCCAATAGCTGACTGGCTGTGTGGCTCTCTACCTTACCGTAATGGCGGGTCACTGGCTCCCTTCCACTTGCTATGATTATAATGACCTTGGTGGGGCTGGGGCTTGAAAACATTGGATTAAGGGGAAGGGAAAATTAGAGGAGGTTTCCATTTCGCTCTTGGCATAAAATTTGTGGGGAATTTCTGCCAAGAATCCCGTACCTCACCACCACCGCTATGCCCCCCCACCTCAAGTTGATGGGGCTTGGGTGCTCTGGTGGTGTTGGACGAGTGGAGCTCAAGCGAATAATGATACACAGGCTTTAACTTAGAAATGAATTAAAGGGCAGGGGAAAGGTGTCGGATGCCTCGCTCACCATACGCTGTCACAGAGAGCATAGAAACAGGCTCTCATTGAACATTCAGTGGCCAAACTGGACTCTGGCTTTTGTGTTTTACTTGACAGTAAATGGGTAAATTAAATGGGCCTGGACAAGCCTCAGGGTGTGGATCTTATGCGCGAACGGTAACCTTATTTGCTACTTTAGACAATTGGCAAGGCACATAAGCAGCAGGGTGGTTTATCATGGTGTCAGTGATGCGTTTCAGGGTAAATACAACTTAAAAATAAATGTTTCTCAAGAATCAAAGCTCTCTGCGGGTCCGGTCCATATGTTACCCTAGAATAACACGTGAAATTGGAGTTTTCTCAGGATTACCTCTTTCACATTGCCGTTGAATAATTCATTTGAACTTGAGTGCCCATTTATTTCACATAGCACCTTGTAGTGTCACTATAGAGCTAGGCTAATGCATGAAATATTGGTGCAGATTCCTGTATCTTGGCGAGCATCATAGCTGCTTTTGATAAGTTTTGTCAAGTTGTCATTTGGGACCTGCAGAGTACAGTATTGTAAAAGTTATGGTGACGTACTTGGTTTGTCATTGCATTGATTGTAGATGTTAAGGAGACTGCACAGTTTTTCACTATTCCCATATTTTCACCGCCCATTCACTTATTCAAATCAGGGAGCTTGTAGTCACAATGCCTTTACTATTCCTTAAACTAACTCAGGGAATAGAGCATTGATGTCGGACAAACTTTGTGTCTCGTAATTGTCATATATCCACATTGTTTTTAAAGCCCCCCATTTAGAATGTCATACAACTTTCTAGCCTTTAATAACTCTCTGCTGAAAAATAATGGCTGATTCTTATAGGTGTGATTCTTGTGTATGGATAATAACTATGAATTTCAGGGTGTAGTTTTTGGTTAAGTTTAGTAGATTGTCCCGTACAGGACGTTAGCCTCAGTCCGACCTGTAAACTGCTGAGGTGCGGCCTTTGTCTTGGAAGAAAAGCTTTAATGGTGCTGTAATTGTTCGCTGTTGGTTAAGGCAATCAGGGTAGCCTAGCACATCTATAAAATATAAAT